CAGGTTGAGCTGTTGTTTAGCATCTTAGCTGTAGAGGGCAGTGTCACTGGCCCTCATGTGGGATCCGAATCAGGGCCCTGCTGCTTAGTGCTGGCCTCCCAAGCCAGCTCTTAACCAACACGCCACTCGGCTGGCCCACCATGACAGTTTTTTTATCTCACCATGATTTCATATGTGCATTAAACTTAGCTGAATTTTAGAACTGGAAGATGATTTAGTTATTAGTCTAGCTCCAACATCCCTCCTTTTCATTACATTTTGTAGATAAGAAACTGGCTTAAAATGAAACTGGAAATGATGTATCTAGTTCCACTACTAGTCTAGGCTTCTTCCTGCCCATTTTAAAAATCTCAATCATATGAATATACTCTTCATTTTAAATGTATTTTGCCAACAAAAATAAAATACAAGTAGTTATAAATCTTATTAGTACTTCACTGCATTCTTAAGAGATTGACTTTATTTGTACAGTTAAACAAAATGACCAGAAAGTTCAGATTTAAATATGGCTTAAAATACAAATCCCTTTTTAAGAAAAATAAAATGTCTTTCAGCTTTTCTCACTCTCCCAAAATATTGTATCACAATAGCAAACTTGAATAAATAATTTAACTACCATTATGATATTGAAAAGAACTAGGCATGCTCTTTTTATTTGAGGATCTGAATCCCATATTTTTCTGGGAAATACTTGCATTGCTTTATAAATATGCCCATATGATAAATATTGTATTTTGTAGTTTTATAGGTTTAGCACAGCAGTCTGAAATTTTGAATATATTTTTTGCTTAAATGAGGAATTTAAGCATGGTTATGCTCCAGGAAAATCTGTTTCTAGTATTTTATTTTTGCCATAAATACTTTGACATCATTTCATTTCTCAATAAATTAAGTAAAAGTGTAATACCTTATATACATATAGTCTATAGTTTTCAAATCATTTCTGACCAAGTCCCTACTATAAAATAGTTTTTTCGGAAGACATGCAACTTAAAATACATCTTGGTGAGTTTGTTTAATTAATGTGATCTTGGAACATGTTTGTATTTAAAAGAGGTTCTACTTGGATGTATAGTATGCACATCTAAAGCTGAAAATATTTTCTAATTTCACTACTGCTTTGTGAGATAAAAACATTGGATGTTTTATTAAATACTAAATTAGACCAGACTAACATCAAAGAAAAAAAGATTAACACACAATGAATTAGATAAAGGTAAATACTTAAAAGCTGTTTATCAATGATGTTTTTTAAAACTTTGTTATTTTCTTATGGTTGCAAGGACTAAGAAAGAGATAAAGTATGTAAAATTCCTGGCACTATGCCACTCAAATATATTTTCATATTTTTTATTTTCAATTCACTGTAGCATTGCTCCTTTGTTAAATAATTATTTATAAATAATAATTTAAATATATCAAAACTATTACATAACCTTACAGAAGATCTTCAGGTAATCTAAGTAGTATTTGTCCCTTAATTAAAATTGTGTTTTGGTATAAAACTAATATGAATCAGAGTACTGTGAAACACATTTTAAAATTAACTTAAAATTAGTGAGCATTCTTTTATAGTAAAATTATTTTCTTTGTCTCCAGGAATCTATCAACAGTATCAAGTCCAGACTAAGCAAAAGTGGTCACATCCAAACTCTGCTGAGAGCATTTGAAGCTCGTGATCGAAACATACAAGAAAGCAACTTTGATAGAGTCAATTTCTGGTCTCTGGTTAATTTAATGGTAATGGTGGTGGTGTCAGCCATTCAGGTTTATATGCTGAAGAGTCTGTTTGAAGATAAGAGGAAAAGTAGAACTTAAAACTCCAAATTAGACTATTTAACATTGAAAAAAAAAGAGACAGAAAAATGCAATAAACTGTTACAGTCAAGAAATTAATAGTCTTTTCCAAAATGTTTTCAGTCACTACCATAAGTGTGAAACAAGTATAATTTTAATGTGAAAGAAAAGTCTTCAGTTTCGTCTGTTCAAGTAATCTTATTGCTCCAGTTGTATTTAAGTGTATAACAAATATTTTGGAGAATATAATTGAATGAAGCCTTATTAATAATGGCATTTTCCAAAGTTTAAAAAATTTTTGCAAATTTCATAGATGTAAATAAATGAACTTTGGGCCTAAATGCAACACTGAACAATGTTTTTAAAAGATTCTCTTACCCAGAACTTTCTTTGTAAATATGACAATTACAAATTAATTGTAGACGTTTTCAATATATCAAGTTATAAATCATCTGAGAATTACCTAATCATGGATTGAATATATCTTTAGAAGACAAAGACTCAACTTTTCTGTTTTACATATACATCTCTCCTGTAATGTAAATTGAAGCATAGCTGTGAAAAGCAGATTTGTGAGACTTTTATAACCAAATATATTTCAATTTAAAATATCAGCACAAAGTATGTTTTATATACTTATCCTATATTCCCAAAAGCTGACGTTTTGATAATTCTTAAAAATGCTGTGATACTTATTAAAATTAGGGCAAATTTTCTCTTCGAAGTGAAAAATAGCTAAAGGTTGCTCAGTCTCTAAGTATACATTCTGTCTCATCCTTAACTAAGGTATAGGATTTTAAAATTAAATATGAGGGAAATAAATTTTATTTTTATGTTATTTGTCAACAGTGATATGTTAATTGTACCATGATTATTGACTTGGATAATGCATTATTTCCAGCAATTGTAAAGCAGATATTGCTAAAAGGATCTGGGCCTAACAAATATTTCCTTTTCTGAGTTCTCAAAATCAGTAAAAAAAGAACTAATAAAATGTAGGTAAGCTTGAGAATATCTTATCAAAATAAAGGTCACTTAAATAAACTGTAAGTATTTGGAATCTGATTGGCTCATCATGACCCAATCTTAATACAAATCATGAACTAATTTTCCAGTTAATTGAAAGAAGTACTACTTGGCTGTGAGTTTTATTTTTTACAACTGTTTTATTCTGTTTTTTGAATAATCTTTTATAAGTATTCAGGTACATTTTATGAAATATAAGCTCTATCGTAAGGTTTGGCACTGGGTACACATTAATTACAATTTTTATTATAACTTTCATAAAATGACTTTTCTGATCATTTTATTGACTCAAGTAAGGATTGGAAACCCACAGAAACCTAGGTTTAAATACTCCATATGTGACTAAATTTATGTAAAGTCTGTGCCATCCTAGCTTATTGAATCTGTGGAGTCTTACTCAAATACTAGTAATTTAGCTACATCATGAATTACATAGAATTTTTAGGTTATATCCATTTGTAATACTGTAATATTGACAAATTAGAAACAATCAACTTACAAATTTGAGTATAGAACCCCTGTAGGTTAGTCCTGCTGGAATTCTCAAGCAATAATTGACATCCAGAGAGAATGGTTTCATTTATAATTTACACTCAGAGTGGTACTAAAAGATTTCCCTCATGCCTTTGAGAGAACAGAAACTTAAACATCCCTACTCTGAAGCTTTTTAAAAATTAGATAACTGCAATACGTATATATAATCAGTTACTGTCATTAGCCGAGAAAGTGCTTTCAGTGTTCAGGAGAAGCCCCTGTAACACATGCAAATCAAGGGCTGGTAAGATCACTGCCTCTGAAGGGCCCTCCCTTTTCCCTCTTCTGTTAACCTCATAATGAGAAGCCAACTTATAGTACTATAACTAATAAAACAGCACAGATATCAACTACTGCATCTTTTCTATAAAGCTGTGATTAAGAATTCTACCTCTTGTGTATGGCTAGTTACTGTACTGTACTCTGATTGCTTACCTAACGATTTGTTACATCATCATCTACATATGATCTGTACCACTGATGTTAATCCAATTCAGTAACTTCTTACAATATAATAGCCTTATTTGGAAAACAAAGAATTTAGGAATATTGAGGACAATTTTATTTTTATAGACACAAAGTGAAGAGATTATTTAAGCAGCATGTTACCTATGTTAACAACAAAAAATTGTAAGCAAAGACTAAACACTTTAATATTTCTAAAGGCGCATTATCTGCCTCATGTGGTTTAATGTCAGTATTCAATTTCAAAAAACTATGCTAAAATTGAGTAAGCTGTTTATCACTTAATAGTTTTTTGTCTTGTTTTTAATTAAACTTTTAAAATACTACAATATCTAAGGCTTAGCATTTCATTCTGATTTGCATTTGGGTCATTAATGATATTCTTTCATGTGAATGTCAAGACATAGAGGGTAAATAAGCTGTTGAAATAGCATTGAAATAAATTACAAATTCAAATGTAATTTTGTTGTTTATCCTTCTTAAGCATTGTTATGTCTTAAACTAACAAAGACTGAGTACCTATAATTGTATGCCTCCCCAAATGAAAACTATCTGAAATTTTAAAAGAAACTGACTGAGTATGTAATGGTTATTCATCTGAAGTGTAATAATGCAGTGTTGCTCAAATTGCTTCACTTGTGAACAGACATCTACATCAAATGAGCAATGAATACTGCACTGAGTATATATAATAAAAATGTTTAAAAATAACCTACTACCAGTCATTGTAAATGCTGTCTAATCCTTTAAGTCTTCATTGATCTCCTCTTAGCAAGTGTGCTCTCCCTTCCCTTTGAAAACCCAGTTCTGTGCGCTTCTTATTGTATATTATTCTACGTTGCATTGGAGTTCTCTGTATATGTGCACTTACTCATCTGTTGCCCAAACATGCATCGTAACTAAAAGGTGCTCATAAGAGAGGCAAAGACCACCAGTTCTGAAAGTTTGGAATGCTAAATAAACACCCAGGGGGCTTGTTCCACTCCTCTGCACCCCCCACCCCCAAAATTGATTGTTTAGGTCTGGAATATGACTCCAGAATCTTAAATTAACCAACACAATTTGGGATTCTGGTGTCCATTATCCCTGGGCCATTTGTTAACTGGGTGACCTTGGGAAATAACTCCATTGAGCCTATTCACTTGTAAAAATATTTTAAGTAACATCTTAAAATTAATTAAAATAGCATATTTTAAAGTCCAGTACTTGGGGGAGGTTGGTGTATTATTGGTCATTTCCTTCATATTATCTAGACAAGCCACTGTTCCCCAATTCTACTCGCTGGTAGAATTCCTAAGGCACCTTTCTGCTTCCACACTCCCATCACATTCAGCTGTCTGGGCTTCTGGAAGACGTGTTTCATTAGAAACTGGAGTCACACTACACTTAACGTATGTATGTCTGGAGGAAGGGCACAGAATAAAGAATCCAGATCTAGCCTGATAGGCGAGAAAAGGCACTCTGAGATGATAGACTCTGGATCCCTGAATCTGAAGGAGAAAGGCAGGAAAATGCCAGGCAGGAAAAAAATTTGGAGGTCTTTAATGACTGAGTCAACAGCAAAATGAACAATGAGAAACAGTTATCCAACACTGAGATGAACTCCCTTATATGTAAGACTACTCACCCATCCCGGTAGTTTTCAAGCGGCAATAATGAACAGATGTTATAAAAAGGGGTTATGTCTACATCTGATATCAAGTGGGAGGATGGACTAACAAACCTATCCTTTCTATCCTTATTTCAATTCTAAAAGGACTAGCAATGCCATTTGTAGAAAACTAAAAAGGCCAGAGCTTCATGAGACACATTTTAAGAGTTCTATTTTGCTAGATTCTTACTTGATATTCAAATCTGAATTGGAAATTAAAAACTACCATTTACAGTCACTCCAAAGAAAATTATATACTTAGGTATAAATCTAACAAAACATGTAAAGGATCATACACTGAAAATGATTAAATGCTGGTCAA